TATAGTGGTTTGTTTGGTCATATTTACCACAATAATTATGAATTATATTATATTATACAAATATACAATACCGTAATCATTTTTAGCAGATATGTGTTAGAAAGATATGTATTATTGATGTTAATATAATTATTGGTATCGTATCTGTATCGTAATAATATGATGGTAGACATTTGGAACAAGAAGAAAGATGTTTTAAATATAAAGTAGACCAAACTTACTGCTTGTATCAAATTTTGGATCCTAGAACCGTAAAATATTTCAGGGTCGAAATATGTTTTGCTGTACATGTTTGTCAGCTCTATGATTTTGAACCTTATAGTAGTTTTAACTTTTGGACGTTCAATATGCATATATAGGCTATAAGTATAGATTATATTTGGAAAGCGGAAATCTCTTCGTTCGTAATCTACAAGATTTGGATTGTCGTTTACCACTCGAACAATTCATCGAATTGTTTGTCGATCACGTGGTAGGGTTGTACATCGTTCAGCTTCCAGAATAGACATATACATATTATATCATTGATGAGTACGGTTAGTATGGTTAACGAATATAACGATCATGTTTGCCATCATATATTACTCGTCACTGTCCTTTTACTTCGGCAGTATCCTGGTGTATTTCATGAAAATTTTCCTCGATAAAAAATCACGATGGTTCGGTCGAGTAGTAACTATTGTATTATAATAGTGTATTAGAAACCGAATGTGGTGAATTTTTATTTAATTGTATCTGAGGAAGAGACGAAATGCTCAACGTACATTATTATATATGTTTTACTTTTCCAAGGCGTTGCGCCTTGCCTTCTTGACAATATATAATCACAATTTATTTTTTGATTCAATACAGTTGAGATTTGCATTGAATAGCTTATAATTAATATTTTATTTTATTTTTTTATTTAAAGGAAAAGGCTTCAACAACATAGGTTATTAGCCTGACATTAAATTATTWCATGGTATTTTTCTTAAGATTAGTTATTACATAGTATATACATATTTTATTCTTACAATTTTTTTATAATATTTGTGATGTTTAAAAAGGTTAGTATTTTGTTTGATTGATTTTCGCCAAGTGCTTCTGCTATGGTGGGTGGCATGTTGAGATCGGTGCGAATTTGGGAGTACCTATTGTGGGTACTCTTCTATTATGTGCTTGATGGTTAGTGCGGTGTGACAGGGTTCACATATTGGTTGAGGTTCTTTACTGATTATAGGTATGAGTGAGTAAGGAAAGAGTGTCCGATTCTGGTGCGGGTGATTGCAATGTCTTGGCGTCGGTTGAGATTTGGGGGGGGGGTCTTCCATTTTTTGATTGTTTTTTAAATATTTTTGAGTTTGTTAGACAATGTTATTGAGTTCCAGTAGTTTTGCCAAGATGAGAGGATTTTCTGGTTTATAGAGTTTTTGATGTCGATCTTGGATATGTTTATTGTAGGGTTAAGGATGGTTTTTGTTGCCAGTTCGGCATAATGTTTGTCTGCTTTTTCATTCCCTATAATTCCGGTGTGAGATGGGACCCACCTGAATGTATAATTAATATTATCAATCAAAAATATCAGTGTTATGATTCTGCATTAACTATTATACAAGTTATCATACAGCATTTGCTAGTTTTAGAAATCGTCATGAATCCTTGTAAAATTTAAGATTATTCATGGTTGTATGCAAGATGCAGCATACACATCATAATATATTATGCATGAATGTTAACCTTTTATTTTGACAAAAAGTTAATTTTTTTTTTGTTTTGTTAAATTTTTAACAAAGACCTACCTAATACCTATATAGTTTTTCGTTGTACACTTTTAAATAATTTACAATTGAGCTTATGTCAATAATTATTAAAGTTGCAGTTGCATGTTATGTTTTCATACCTTCATAGGCATTGTACTGAAAATACACGATAAAATGGTACTACCACGCGATAAGTTAATATTTACATAGTTTTAAATATTTTAAAATTTAATAACCGTCATGCATACAAATTTCGAGGGATCTCCTACAAAATTAAATGACGCGTTACCTTGGTTCAGAAAATACTAATGTCAAACAACTCAAAAAAACAGAGAGATGTCAGATGTGCAGTATTATTACACTCACCATAATCTCGCGTACCTACGTATTTTGTGTAATATAGTTCATAGAAATCCAAAACATTTTTTTAAAGGTAGGTAATCAATATTTAATATCAACATACATTTGAAAACATAAAAAAAATCATCATCTCTACCTAGCTATATAGTGTTTAAAATCACTATTAAGTTTTATGTAAATTATGAAAAATTATTATATTTAGTTACAATATTTTCATTGGCACCTATCACAATTATGTATGTATATGAAACATATAATTATACAAGGAATATACAGGAATATAAAAAGTATTTTTCTTTGATGAAATCAAACTCAACTAATTTTTGTTCACTCAAAATTAATCATCTATCTACATGTACCTACAACTATATTATACACATACGCAACACAGTACGAGCACATAGATAACAAAACACGTGGATTCGATTTCTTATAATTAAGACAGAATTTTATTGTGTGTAGTAATTAATTTGAAAATTAAATTGTAGAAATGATGTAGGGGGAGGGGAGGAAGGCGACGAATTGTACTAACCTGTACATCTTATTTTCCTTTAAAAATTGGTATTACATAACTCTTTCTCCAAGCGTCTGGAATTTTTCCATCGACTAATAACCTGTTGAAGAAACTCGTCAACCAGTCTACTCCTAATCTCCCTAGCACTTTCCAAACTTCTACTGGTATTCTATCTGGACCTACTGATTTTCCATTTTTAATTTTTCTAACCACCCTCCACACTTCTTCCAAATTGACCATACCTAAGTTCATTTCGCATTGATCTACTTCCTTACTCGAAAATTTCTCATTTAACAATTTTTCAAAACACCTTTTCCATCTATTCATTATCTCCTTGTCATTTGTTAACATCTTTTTACTTTCGTGTCTTATGCACTTATATTTTTAGTACATCTCTGGTTTGTTTTTTTGATGTATCTAATTAAAAATTCAAATGAGTAGTTTCTTATAGTTATTAAATTGTTTATACTAAGGATAATACTATAATAGTCCTTAAAAATCGTTTTACTAGTATTTATGATACTTGGGTCAATTTATTTATGTTAATAAATTAATATTAATGATTTATATTTTCAAATCCACTATAGATCACATATCTTATAAACCGTTGACCGTTGACCTTTTACCCTTAGAACACAAAGTTTAATAACTCAAAAAGTACTAATTGGAATTTTGATTTCAATATATCAAAATTCTCAACAAAAAATATCTGCTAAATAATTTACAGTAAAAAAGAGATGTTCTCATTTGAAAAACAAAAGTTTGTAGCGCCACAGGTATTTCGAGAGAAAAGTATACAAGGCAGAAGGACGGGGTGGAATTCGGTCGGTGCGACGCGTTGATGGAAACAAGTAATGATACCTGGCCATAGGTTTTTTGAGAATTACATGGGCCGAATAGGGAGTGCACCATCTGGTTTTATATAATCTGTGGCCGTWTCGTCACMGAACTCTTGATTACGGTTATCAGCTATAATTTCTCATCACAGGGTAGAACCAGAATATGTTTCATATATTCTGTGGTAGAACTGTCCCCGTCACTTAAAATAAATTATTTTTCTAGAATAATGTTATTCCAATGATCACTTGTACTGTTCTATGCTTGTACTAGGTATAAATAAAGATAAGATATGCATCGATATTTGACAGTTAACATTAATATCTATCCCTGAACGGTATAGGCAAGGTGGATTTATAAATTTATAAATTTATAAATCCACCTTGGGTATAGGTATGAATTTTATCTGTAAACACTACTTGGATTGAAGGTTCTATGATTACTTAGTAGGTATCTACTATAATAGCGACATAGCGTACTGGGCTTAAATAGAGGGTAGTGGTAGTCACTTCTGAGTTCTGAATTTGTCAAAGGGTTTTCTATGGTTACTACAATCACAACTTAAAACAAGTAATTTTGTCATGGTTACTATTAAGTTTACAAATCACAACAATCGCACGAGGCACGAGTCACACCGTCTTTGCCATAATAACTAGGTACCTATATAAATCTATAATATTATTTGAATTAAACGTAATTATGTGATTAATTATACATAATATTATTATTTCTTAAAACATATAAAATTCTAAGACCGTGATTTAGAATAATAAAACCTCATGGCTCATATAGAAGTATAGAACTAAAAGTTATAATTTCAACGTTTATTATAATATTATTATTATTTATTGTGATACCTACTATATTCTGATTAAACCTCGGATTAAACTAATCAAATTGCTAATGTATGTGAAGCGATCACAAGTTTGTTCTCATTGTGTTAATTCAATTTTTTATAGTTGTGTGATGTGTCACTTGTGTAATTTTGGTTTGTGTTTATTGTTCATTTTTTTTTAAACATCTTATTTTCCAAGTCAGTAAGTAATCTAAATGACAACATATTAACATTCCAACTACAGCACTCAAAGATTGTCTTAAAAAATTATTTATTATACTGTAATAATATGATACAAACTCAGTTAAGTTAAATGTTATAAGAAAACTCACAATTAACTTATTAACTTAATAGTTATTTTTATTGAACAATTCTGGTTAATGGAACAAAAATTAAATTAAATTAAATTATAAATTTTCTACTTCAATAAATGTTTATGCAATGTGCATCATCAATAATAATTTATACATTTATGTAAATTGGATTTGATTAAAAAAAACTAACTTATTATTTATTAAGTATATATCAATGAAAATTAGTTAGCTAATGAAAAGTAAATGAAAAAAGTTAAAATTATTTTAACATTTTAACCCTTTTGTGTCCAGGCTTGTATATTAGAACATATTAGGTATGTTCTATTAATTATAATTAATAACTGATAACAAAAAATTCAATTATTTGACATTTTTTAAGTTTGTAATATATTAAAATTTCAAATTCAATTTTTTTTACAATCACACATCATCATGGACATAATTTACTCAAATATCAACCTGCCATTATTTTCAACTAAGCAAAGTAAAAATATTGAAAACGGAGTAAATAAATACACTACAAAAATGATTCTATCAAATATTATAGATGATACAGCAATTACTAGATTTAATAAACAGACATTTAAAAAAAATCCAAGTATGCAGTTTGAGAACACTAGTAACAATTTTTGTGGTGTTATTAGTTCTCCTGTGATTGTATGCAAGAACAACACAACCAAAAGCAAAAGTAGCTTAAATATTGATGACTATACCACAGAAAACCAAACTAATAGTTGTAAAAACATTGAAATTGATGAAGTTTTTATTAAGTCAGACTGTAGTAAAAATGTTCCTAAAAAAACAATTAATAAAAAGCAAAAAAACATATCATTTTCAAATGAAAAGCTTTGGGAAATTAATAGGGTTAATCAAATCTTACATAACAAAATAACTAATGGAGCAAAGCCTACTTATTCGAGGATAAAGCCTCCTATATCATTAGTTAGGGCCACATCAACAATCAATCGAGAGAGGAAAAATAAAGACATTATTAAGGAAAATGAAGTAAGCTTAAAAAATTTTAAAATTTTTGTTGAAAAATGAATAATTTGTTTTTAAATCCCATAAATAAATAACTACTAAGTATTTTTGTTATTTACTTCTAGTGTTTTTATTTGAAAATATATTCACTAAAATCAATTACTACTTTTTAATTCTAGCAAAAGATCAGTTTGTCCCTCGTGTGATTTATTAATTAATAATTTCTACTACATTCCTTTCAATCAATGAACAACTTATCCTAATTGAATTAGTTTTGTTGTTACTTTGTTAGTAATTTAGTGTATTATAATTAAGAGCTCCTTACAATCTGCAACAGTAGCTTTGAAGTTTGAATTGTGTCCAGAGTGGCTCCAGACTCATATTACCCCCACTGCCTCTACTGCAGTGGAGTACAGTTGTACCACAGAATATATGAAATATATATAAATATATTTCATATATTCCGTGGTTGTACCTACTCAGATAACAAGATAACAAGAGAAAAATAAATGTAGATACTAAAGAATTAGGAAAAAGAACAATATTGAGATATATTTAAAAAAAAATACTTTGATAAAAATATAAAAATATGTAATATTACTAATATTGATTTATTTACATTTTCCTTAATGATTTTATTTTGATTTAATAAAACTAAAAATATAACACATAGACTAAAATAACTTTTTATCATTGAAACAAGTTATATAATCTATTATTATACCTTATTAAAACCTTTACAAAGTTGTTTTAAATTATTAACATAAATACATTAATGTTCATTATATTACATGAAGAACAAAATGTACTCTGTTGACATTTTTTGACAGTATGTTACTAATGTAAAATTCTTATCCTGGTGAGTGGTGGTATTTCAAAAAAAATCTTATAAAGGTGGTGTAAATACTAAATAAGGTATGAACGTTACACTTATTTCAGTACAATAAAAATAAATTTTAATTGGAAGTGTTCCACAAAATATTCTAGGTACTCATAGTCCCAGAATACAAATCTATAACTAACCCTAAAAAAAAAAATAAACAAAAATATTTAATTGCTTAGAATATTGTTTTCTTCTTCATTGGTTTTTTTAGTTTGTTCATTTTATCTATGATTGTAATCTATTGGTGAAGTACCTATATTGCATTACATAGTATAAATGATTAATTATATAAATTATACAAGTTATGTTAAGCAATTTGTATAAAATGATTATTTTTAACTTAGACCAAAAAATTCATATTTTTTTCAGATTCTAGCCAAGAAATTGAAGAATGTTAGATCAACCATCTTTAAGTAAATTTAAATTTTAGTAAAATGTGTACCTATAATTTTATGAACGAGATTAAATTTGCAGTTTATTTGAAGATTTGTATCTATTATGTAATATTTATCTATTAATTACCTAAAACTAGATTTATATTTTTGTTTTTATAATTTCTAGTTAATTAAGTATTAAGTATTAACACAAAGCAATATAATTGACTACAGTGTACAAATATTTAAAAATGAAATTAATTGGTTTTGATAGATTTAAAAGTAATGAATCCATATTGCAATTTGTTATTTACATCTGAAATTGTTTAACTTTACAAATAAAATAGCAATTAAAAATATTATTTAAATTATTATTTTGTTTTTACTTTAAAGGTTATTTTTAACACTTCTTTATTTGCAAATAGTAATAGTAGTAATGTACTATACAGGGTGATTCAAACACTCATTATTTCAAAAAGCATTGACTTTTTTCAAAATATTTTTTTACATGGTTTCAAGTTGTTAAAAAACCAACG